GGCCTTGGTCAGGTGCGCCTACGCTCCCTTCTGACTACCTGACCAGCAGGGTGGTCTTGGGCATGCCCCTATGCCCGCCAGAGGGGGCACTTCTTGCTGATGGAAGAGAATTCATGATCCTAACGTGGAGGATTGCTGCAAAGATTGGCAACAATGGATTAAAAGTGGCCGGCCTGTTAAAAAAAAAACCCAATCTCAAAATGAAACATACCATGTGATTCCATTTACAGAGAGCGCGTGAAATGACAAAATTACAGATGGAGGAGTCGTGGATGCCTGGGGTTTGGCGTGGGAGTGAGCGGGAGAGTCAGCTAAGTTCTAAAAGGCTGCCCCTTGGGGTTCTGTGATGTGACTATTCTGTGGTTTGAGTTGCGGTGGTCTTCACAAGACTTTTTATGTGACAGAACTGCACAGACGCTAACACTCACACAGGTACATGTCAAACCTACAGAACATGCACAAGGTTCACTGTCTGACTGCGGCACTGTAGTATCATTGTGCAACGTTTCCATTGGGCGGAAACTGGGTGAAAAGCAACTTCTCAGAATCTCCGGGTGTTATCGCTTACAACACTGTATGGATCCAAGATGATCTCAAAGTGAGTGTTTTGTTTGTGTTTTAATCTCGGCATGTTAAAAAACCTGCCTGGCACAGTTGGAGGATTGGGGAATGCCACCAACACCCTCCCCCCCCCCCCCCCGTGAGCTCCAGGGGAAAAGAAGAGCTGCCCCTGGCCACCCAGCTGGCCTTTCCCGACATCTGCTTGCTGTAGTCCACCCCTCAGTTCCTCGCCCACTATGCACCTCAGAACACAAACGCCTGGCTTCCTGCAGCCTGTGCAGGTCTGCTCGGCTCTTCCTCCACAGACGCTGGCTAAACTGGACTCAGTGCAATACGGTTCCAAGAGGACAGCGCTGGACATAAGAGCATGGTTTCCTTTTTAGTCTATCCGTGGAAAAAACAAATATGCTTCTCTCTGAAAGTTTTTGAAAGTTGTTTCAGAAATTTTCGGGTGCAAAAGTTTTCCATCATGCCAGCCGCCCCAGGCCAGAGCGGCCACCGCTTCCTGGTGAGCAGCGGTTTCCAAGCGGGTTGACTCTAAGGACTCTGGGAACACGATCCTGTCTAAGACCACCCTCCTCAGACCCAGGCCCTGAATGCCTTTAGGCACTTTGACACCAAGAGGAAGGGCAGGCTTTGATTTCCAATGCTCTAGGAGGGAGGACAATCTCAAGGTAGGCCATCTTCAGGAAGACGACTTACAGATAAAGTCATATGAGTTCATTTCAAAGGTCAAAGAATTTGCTGAGCTCAGGCTTGAGTGGAGGTGGGGAAAGAAGGGAAAGGCCATGAGTCCTAGGGAGAAGGACGGCTCTCGGCTCACTCACTTCTCAGGTCTGTCCAGGGCAGGGTCCTGCTTCACATCACGTTTCCATTCACAGGAATGACCCCATTCCAACTTGCAGAACCACAAATGACTGGAAAGTTTGCCACTTCTTAAAGAAAAAATCTTCACCGTAACAAATGAGAAAAACAGGATTTTTTTTCCCTGGAACACCAGGCATTGGAGGAGATCTTCACCACCAGCTCAGTCGCACGCACCAGCTAGGCCAAGATCTGGAAAGGAAGACGCATCCTGAGTGCTGACCTGCTGGCCAAGTCTCGTCCACTGTGGGATGGGAAGACAGACGCCCCAAGCACCCCACCCGGGCACACGCCTGCATTCCTGGGAAGACTTCCCACATGTTTGAGCACAAAACGGTTTTCAGAGAAACCGTTCAACCAGGAGGGCCCCATTCCCCTTCACACATTCCAGTTCTCCAAGGCTGCTGTGTAAAACTGAGCGGCCGCCAAATGGCCCATTACAGCTGATAACCCTCCAATCACACGCATGTGGCTGTCAGCACGCCCACTGCTCAACAGGAACCAGCAGGCTCAGCCATCACGCTCGAATGAACTGGGAGGTTGGCTGCGAGGTCCCTGCGTACTGCGGGTCCTCTACTCAGTCTTCCCAGCAGCCCCCTGCAGGGCCACAAGCCAATCCCTCCTCTTGGGCACAATCATTTTTGCAGAAAATAGGATGGAGAAAAATTGAGTATTATTGGAAAAAAAAATATACACATCCTTTTTTTTGGGGGGGGGGGGTAATTGAGCTGAATCTGACATAATGAAAAAGGTGTTGGGCTGGGGATGTGGCTCAAGCGGTAGCGCGCTCTCCCGGCATGCACGGGGCACTGGGTTCGATCCTCAGCACCACCTAAAAATAAAATAAAGATGTTGTGCCCACCGAAAACTAAAAAATAAAATATTTTTTAAAATTCTCTCTCTCTCTCTCTCTCTCTCTAAAAAAAAAAAAAAAAAAAAAAAAAAAAAAAAAAAGTGTCAGTGGTTTAGCAGAGAACCCCAACAGGCTTCCAGAAGTCATGGGCTCTACAGATTGAATAGGCTGGAGAAAAGAGAGTCAAAAGAATTAAAAATCCAGGCGGTGTGTTGGCATAAGTCTGTAATCCTAGCTACTCGGCAGCCTGCGGCAGGGGATCACCTGACCTGTCCCAAAATAAAACATAAAGGGCTAGAGATGTAGCTCAGTGGTACGGCACTTGTGTAGCATGAGCAAGAGCCTGGGTTTGATTCCCAGTACCGGGGAGGTGGGGATGCTTTTTCTTAATCAAAACACACACACACACACACACACACACACACACAACGTGCCTGCTGAACACCTGGATGGTCTAAACAAGTTTTCCTTACAGAAGCTCAGGTACCTTTTAACTTCCCTCTCCTCCCTGTCCCAAAGACAAAACACGGACCTGCCTCTTTTCTCTTCCTTCTCTCCCTCCCCCACCATGTGCACACAGGAAACAGGGACTTGCCTAAATTCCCTTAGAAAAGAGAGAGAGAGAGAGAGAGAGAGAGAGAGAAAGAGAGAGAGAGAGAGAGAAACGCCCAGGTAAGCCTAGGCGCTCCCGTGCCTCATCCATGTTCTGTTAATGGGTTTCCAAGTGCAGCGGGTTTTCAACAGTGAATGAGAAGACAATGAACAATGGCTGCTCTGTGCCTGGCCCACTCCCCATCTGGGTTCTGGGGAAGGCCGGCTGAGTCTCCTCGGGCAGCCCCATTTGGGCACAGACGCACCTACAACGTGACAGGCCCTGCCAAATGTTGAGCCTTCTCCCTTACCCCTTCAACACGCTGGGGCTCACCTAGGCCAACAATACCATGTTCAAAAACAAAGTTCCAATTTTTTTCTGGTGTTTCAGTTTTTGTAAAAGACTAAGCCAGCCAGCCGGCTTGGCAGACCTTCCATTTACAGAGGGGAAAGCTGCAACAAGCGACCGGACACCCCCACGGGAAAAGCCAGATGCCCGGATTCAGAAATGAGAAAAGGCCCCACTGTGCACACCAGGCACACCCACAGGAAACGGGCTCCACTTCGGCTTCTCTCCTGCAACAGTCAAGGGACAGTGCCGTGTGGGGCGGGGAATCAGCAGGCTGCTGGCGCCCAGGGCTGCTGGATCCCAAGTGCCTGCTCTCGGATTCCAAACACAAGCCGGCAAGCCTGACAAGCCCCACTGAGCCAAGAGACATGTGCCTCCCTCCAAGTCGCGCTCCGCTGAGTGTCTTCACGCTTATCTTGGACCCGCTGAATGGCTGATGGCACTGCCCTCCCGGGTCAGTGTCAGATGTGCCAGGATGTCCTCATCAGCAGGCAGGATGAGCCTCAGTGAGCTCAGGGAAGTGTGCATATGGAAGGCCGCCTGCCACATGCCACTCTCAGCTCCAGCTCACGGGGGAGCATGTTAGGGCTTCCAGCAGCAGGGTGAGTGGGGGTCAGCTCAGACCCGCCAGGCCACGTCCTCTGGCTAACCATCTGGCCAGCACAGGGCAGCCTTAGCTATAATGGAATTCGCAGGCTCTGCCCAGCAAGAGGGAGGCCTCGCTTACAGCACCCAGGAACCTGTGAGCATGGAGCCCAGTGTCCGTCCCAACAGAAAAAAGGACAAACCATCACCCCACTAATACCTGCGCAGACAGCGCGCACGAGTCACGAGTCACGCGTAATATGACCGTACTCAGCATTTGGCTTCCAAAGCTGAGCGAAGGCATCAGTATTCTTGGCCACAGCAACTGTGTAAAGAAACCGCCACATGAGAGACTTCGGCAGTCAGGGCCTTCATGGCAGGACTGCTGTCCCATCTGTGGCTCCTCCGCGAGCAGCTTGCTTCTGGAACAGCGTGAGTGGTAAGCCCCGCATACAGCGCTCTCCCTGCACCATGTCTTGGCAATATCTGGTACTCACGGTCGCCATAAGCACGGGGGCTGGACCTGGACGACTGGACACTTACTTAGGACACACCACTTCCTCTTGAGACGGCTGGACCTGGCTGACTGCCATGGGGAATCGAGGGTCGGGAAGGACACCAGGTAATTCCTCCCCTGAGATGAGGAGGACCTGGTGGGCCTGGCTGAGTGCTCCTGGTGGCCGCTTCACGACGCGCTTTATAACGAGCAGCAGGTGAGGTGCTGCTGGTACTATCCCACAACGCCTGGGGCTGGGTGATCACAAAGAACCAAAATTCCTTTCTCAGTCTCTGAAGTCCAAGATCAAGGCTCCAGGACCATGCTGCCGAGGGCCCTCTGCTACCACCTCACCTGGTTGAAGGTAAGCAGGCAAGAAAGTGCAGGAGGACAAGCTAGCAAGTGGACGGAAGCTCCTTTTGCCAGAGCTTCAATTCTGTTCACAAGAAGGCGCCTTGGAGGCCTCTTGAGCTCCTACAGGCCCCTCCTCTTAACACTGCCACGCTGCCAACAGCTGAATTCTGGAGGATGCAATCTAAGCATACCATGTGTTTGATCAATTAACTTCTAATCTGGACTCTATTTATCAGTAACATGTCCTCTAACCCCAATGACAAAAACCCTATTCTTCACACATCACAAATTCTTTCCAACTACCTGTCTAACATGACCTTAAATAAAAGTAGAAGACAATGATATGCTTCAACCAGGAGTGACATCTACTTTTTATTCCATGGAAGAAAACCATGCAGAACGACACTATCTGCTGGTGATCTGAAGGTGACAGCCGAGAACAGGGCTCGCATGGGGTTCAGAAACAGCTGGTCCACCCCTAGGTTGCAGAGGCTTCCTCGACCGATATTAGGTTTCATTACCAAGAGGGCTTTCCAGTGCATGCCAGGCCTTTCTGTGTGCTCCAGTGATGGGCCAGATCAGCGGGAAAGACCAGGCAGCCCGAGCTTTGAGGCGGAAGCTAACCCAGCTCAGTGAATCGGGCAAGGCCATCCTGTGCTGGCCTCGAACTCTGAAGTGGTGGCACCTAGAAGCAAAGCCAGAAGCTATCAGTACTCCATCCAAGGCAGCACGCACCAGCGCCCAGGGCCTGTGAGTGGGCTCCTCCGTCACCACCTGCCTGCCGGGGAGGACTTCTTCAGAACCAGGCTCCGCCTCCTATTTCCATGACACAGCACTACTCAGAGCCCTGAGCTAGGAATCCCACCCCTCATCACCACGGAGGTGAGCCTAAGCTGAGTGATTAGAAATACACCACCAGCAGCTCCACGTGGTTCCAGGTGTGGGAGGGGCTGTTCCTGGCTCTGCCCTCCCAGCTGCCTGGCATGTGCAGAACCCTGCGCTCAACTAACAATGCCATAAACAAAGAAATCTGGAATCAGCACCTGCTCTAGGAGACCCCGACTACGTCTTGAGGTGAGTCCCCCCACCCCAGAACAAGTCCAATGATGGCTTTCCTCAACCCTCATAGGCTGCCGTAACAGTGACACAACAGCTTGAGCTGCTCCCAGGACAGAGCCTCCACCTACCTGCCCAAGAGACCCCCCACTGGCGTCAGCCTCCTGAAGTCAGGCCCACCCACCTGCACAGGTGAGAGCAGGAAGTGAAGCACAGGCTGTGGTCAGAGTCTCCCAAGAGCCTCCGATTCCCCACCATCACTTATTAATCAAAGCCTGCACCGAGGGCATCCTTCCGAAAGGAGGCCAGCTGGACAGACCAGGACGGCCAGTGTGCTTGCCTGGTAAACAGGACTTCATGACTAATTCATGAACTCAGGAAACCACACAGGGCCAGAGCAGAAAGCCCAATTAACTCAACACTAAGCAGCACCCAGCATTTCCGATGCCGCTCCAGTGAGGTGAGGCACAGCTGCCAGGGGGCGCTGTGGACGCAGGAGCCACCGCAGGGGATGTTGGGGAGGAAGGAGAGCCATCTCTCCAGGCTGGAAGCCTGTGCTGCATCGGGAGAATCCTTCAGCTGGGCTCCTCGGTGAGGTCTGACCTATCCACTGGTGAGTCTCGCTGCCCCAGACAGGCCCCTCTCTAAACCAGATCTGCTTCTGCAGACCCACCTCTACAGAGGTGCCACCTAGTGAGCTGTGAAGGCTGTCGGCTGGAGCAGAGAGTGGCTGCCCGTCACCCAGGTCACCCGGGTCTCAGAGGGAGGAAGGCGGAGCAAAGGACCTTTCTTGTACAACCTGGGAGCACTCTGTGGGAGGGGCCAGCAGCAGGCCCAGCAGTGGAGCCACAAGCAGAAAACACGTCTCACCCTCCACCCCCACCATAAAAGACAATCAAGGGACAGCAACGAGAACATGCTCAACACTGCCCAACTGTGGTCAGGTGGGTCAGGGTGGGTGGGGCCAGCAGCAGGGCACCTGCCTGGAGGCACCAGGCCTGGGTTTGCACATGCACACGCACACTAAGATGGCAAGTTGTATGAGTTTTCTACAATTAAGTTCCCTCCTCAGCACATTCAAGGGTCAGAACAGCAGGAGCACCTGGGACACCTGTGCAGGCCTCAAGTCCCAGGGAGGAAGGCCAAGTAGTCCTGGCCCTCGAGAAACACTCGCCTGTGTGGTGCCCTCAGAACACACCCGGGACCTGGACGGATCTGTGGCCGTGGACTCACCTTCAAGAGCAGGCTGGGCAGATGCTCTCGGCCAGGCGGGACACCTGTGTCTGGGGTGCACTGGTGAGGAATGGGTCAGCCACAGGGAGAGAACCAGGACACTGTCTTCTCACTGAACCACCCCGAGCACGCCAGCTTCGTCCTCACGTCCACCACCCCTTGCTCACTGGATGGTGGCCTCACCTCCGGGCTCAAGGCCTCCTGAACTGAGGGGCTGCAAACAGGACGGGGCAGCTCCTGTCTCAGGAAAGCCAGATGCTTCCAGAAAGCTGTAGCAGCCAGCCACTTACATGGAGCCAGCCAGAACAGGTCACCCGCGTGCCTCTGGGCCAGTTTCTCAAACTGACTGAATAACAATAAGTTCACAGGCTTTGTCACTTTCACTGGTGGCATTTGTCTGAGTACTCGGGGGTACTCATGGGCCAGGCAATCACAGTTCTTTTATTTCAACCTGCACTTTAACATCTATGACACAATTCTCACGTCACCCTTTACACCTGATGTGCACGTGCAGGTTACAGAAAGGCGAGGCGTTGAGTGGCCACAGGGGTCCAGGAGGTGCATGGAAAGCAAAGACGGAGAGCAGGTGCCAAGGCAAAGAGCCACCAGGTGCCAGAGACACCTAGAGATATTATTACCCAAACCAGAGAGGCAGAACTGAAAGTAGAAGCACAACTAAGCAGCTGAAGAGCTTGCTCGGGGCACAGAGCTGTTCCGGAGCTGAGCTTGGTCAAGGCCAGGGTCCCGGCAGGCAGTTTCAAACTAGGTCACAGAGGCAAGGAGACAGACCGGGGCTAAGCTGAAGCCTGGGGACAGGGTCAGAGGGTCCCTGCCTGTCGCTCTGGTGATGAGTCACCCGATGGCAGACACTGGGTTGGTGTGTGCCCCGAACCATTGTGGCTCCTTTTACGCACCAGGTGGACGGACAAGCTCAGGGCCTGGCTTCACTACATGGTGTCGGTCTGCCCAGGCACCTCTAGGCTCCTGACTTAATCCGCTAAGTTCAGGTATCCTTTTCACTAGACCAGCTCGGTGCTTTGTGTCTTTTGGTCTTGTACCAATGAGGTGGGAGTCCGTCCATCTCAGCACTTACACCCCGAATGGACCAGCTCACAGCAAACTACTCCTTTTCGAGACAGTGTAGCTCAGGATTGAGTGGTCTGAAAAGTACCCATGATGGAGGGACTCAGAGCAGGGCACAGCCTGCCCTCCACATTCCATCAATCTGAAGTAATTTCTAAATAAGTTTTTTAAATCCATATCCCAACCCAAACTGTTAAATTCACAGTATGTTAATATTTTAAATACAATGTTTCAGAAAACTCGCCAGTAAACAGAGGTGTGGATTTCCCTGAATCTTCTTTGCTCTGATTGATGAGGAGATTAAGAGAGACAGACAAGACCAAGAGAACCCAGAGTGCACCGGTGGGTGGGATCTGGGGGTGTGTCCTTGTAGTTCACCACAACACCCGGTGGGGCCCAGAAGCAGTGGACTGTTAGTAAAATACCAAACGTCTACATTGAAGTAATGACTACGAATTTGACTTGAGAACGTTGCCAAACATTCAATAGCTTCTTGCTATTGAATATAAATTAGCTTGCAAATGGAAACCTAGAGATATTATTACCCAAACCAGAGGGGCAGAATTAAAAAGTGCAAAAGCAGGGCTGGGGTTGTGGCTCAGCAGTAGAGCGCTTGCCTCACATGCTTGAGGCTCTGGGTTTAATCCTCAGCACCATAAAAATAAATAAACAAAATAAAGGTATTTTAAAAATACAAAAGCAATGACATGGGATACTGCAAACCGCACAGCAGGCAGAGACCAGCACCCTGTGGAGGTGAGAGCACTGGCACAAGTACCGGGCAGCCTGTTCAGTGCCCTGGAAACAGCATGTGAAGTCACAACACCCTGTCCCTACACTTCCATTCAGCCAGGACGCATCCACAGAAATCAGCCGACGTATTTCCAAATCATGCAGAGGACTGCGCCATGAGCGACCCTCGCTTAAATGAAATGCCCAGGGGGGCTGGGGAGCTGTGCTATTTGCATTCTGTCTGCACCCTTGTTATTATGGTCTTAAATTAATCTGACAGAGATAATAAATACGCTTTAAGAGGAAACATGAAAGAAAATAAGTAGCTGTATTAGTGCTTGTGGCAAGCAGATTTATGATGATTTTTAGCTAAAAGAATCCAGAGGAAGAAAATGGTCATTTTTCTGTTTAGCAAATATTTATGAGGCTTTGCTCACAGGAGCTATGTCCTAGGCCCCGAGAATAAGCAGTGAGTAAGACAAAGGTCCCTGGTCGGCCATGGGGGGAGAAGAGACAAAGAACAAGAAAACCTAAGCCAGGGTGGCCCTGGGATGCTGAGTGCTAAGGGCTGAGGAGTCCCGGAGAGGGCGGGGCAGAATGTGCTGGGAGGGTGCTGGGAGCAAGCGGGGCCAGAAAGGCCCCCACTTGAAGAAAGGCCTGCAGGGCATGAGGGGGCCAGGAAGGCAAGCGCCCAGCAGAGGTGGAGGTAGGTCTGGGCTGTTGGAGGACCGGCAGGGAGACCAGAGTGGATGGGCAGGGGGCAGGCAGCCTGAGGAGGGCAGGTCAGGTACCACCCCGGAGGCCACGGTGACAACATGGCTTCTTCTTCTCCATGTGAGATGCGAAGAGGGGACACTATGAGTCCACGTGACAGAGGATCACAGGCATGAGGAAAAGACATCATTTACCCCGGTGAACAACAGGTGAGCTTGGAGCTGGGACCGCAGCACCAGGGATAAGAAGCAGGCTCCCCGTGTGTCAGAAACAGAGCATCTGCTGACAGGGAGGCTGGAAACAGACTCCTGAATGACTCCGCAGGCTCCTCCCAGGCAGGCGGAGATGAGGACACTGTGGGCTGAGCTGGGAAGGACATGGGGGGCAGGCAGGGGTGACTGGACTGAGGCTCCCTTCTGGATCAAAATGAACTGAAATGCCACTCGACGCACCCAGTGGGGGTCTGCGGAGTGGCTCCAGGTGGAGACCTGAGCCTACATGAGGCCCTGGTTTAGTCCCCAGTGCAGCCCCCGCACACATGCGCACACACGCACACTCACTAGCACTCACACAGGCTCGCACTCTCACTGACACACACACAGAAGCGGCCCAGCAGGTGGTCGGGGAAAGCAGTCTGGAGCTCAGCTGGAGATCCAGCCTGCAGACAGAAATCTCTCTATCATGTGGACGGTATTTACGCTGTGGCTGTGGATAGAGAAGCAGACCAAGTACTCGGAGGCACTGCACTTAGGTTTACAGGTGAGCAATCTGCAAAGGAGACCAAGGCAGACCAGCCAGACAGAAAGGGAGGTGGAAGGGCGAATCCAGGAAGCAGGTGAAGAGCTGGCTTCGCGGAGGACAAACGACCGTGCTGCCTGTGGGCTTCAGCAAAGACACACCCCTGAGCCCTGGGGAGAGCAGCGCCGGTGAGTGTGAGTTAAGCAGTGAGTAGGAGTGCGCGTGCAAAGCCCACTGCAGGCGCTGGGGCGGACTGGAGGGAGACGTCAAAGGCAGGCAGCAGAGATCTGGCTGGTAGCTGGAGGGGAAATCAGAGTCTGGAGAGATGTTTTATTTAATGGGAGAAATAATAACTTGTGTGCCAGAGGGAGTTCCGTACAGAGAAGAAAAATGATGACACGGGAGAGGGAGGGGACGTTCATGCGGCGATGTCCTCGAGGAGGCACAAGGGACGGGCTCCCGGGTGATGGGCGTACACAAGGAGGCACAGGTGGGGTGACATGGCTTTCAAGGTAAGGCAGACACTGGGGGAGGCTGGGCGGATGGAGGACCTTCCCAGGAGCAGCGTCCCATGGGGCCCACTCGCCCCTGAGGAGGAAGGCAAGGGGTGGGGGGAGACAGGAGTGAGGAGGGGCAAGCTCCCCCCAGGCGTGAGTCGGCAAAGGGACATTTTGTAAAATTAGACTCTGAAGAAGACAAGGCACAGTACTGACTGGGCTGGCCATCCTGGGAGCCACCTGCCATCCCTTGACCACAATAAATTTAAATCCTCTACAATCCACTCTTCTGCGTCTTGTAAAATCCCACTCCAGCTACCCAAAATGTCACGGCTGCTTGGAGCGTGAAGGGACACAGACCTTCGTAGTGAAGAACCAGACCCTGGAATCACTCCGAGTCGAGAAGACACCACGAGGGGATTCTTCTCAAGTACAGCCTGACAAACCATCAGGAAAAGAATCAGTGCGCACACCAGGCACTTTGAAGGAAGTTGTGTGCTGTCTTCTGTCTGGAAAATAAGATTCGACGGGCAGTTGCATCCTATTTCCTACAGGGCGCTGGAGTGATCGCCACAGCAACCCGTAAACTGCAGCGGGCCGGGGGATCAGGAAGCATTCTTTGTTTGTTTGTTTGTTTTGTTTTGTTTTTTGGGATTTTTTTTTTGTGGTGCTGAGGGTCGAACCCAGGGCCTTGTGCATGCAAGGCAAGCACTCTACCAACTGAGCTATATCTCTAGCCCAGAAAGCATTCTTTCAAAAGAATTAAATCCCATGATTTCAGGCTGGAAAGGGTTTCGATAGACCCTATCACTGAGTCCTTCACACAAATGCCCTAGACAACATAGTTTTTACATCTACAGAAACTATACCTATGCCTTGTAAAATATCCAAAGAGAA